AGATCGTATCGATGAACGGTTTAATGCGTTGGAAACTAGACTCATAGATCTTTAATTTGATTGGTAGATCACCCCGTAATTCCTTGTAAATTATGAGAAAAGATTAGAAACATTTGACCTAATGTTTAAGTAAAATTATGAACCTAAGTTGCGACAACTTTTGTCGACTTTTGTTTCATAACTCGTTTGACTTCAAGACTTATGATACGGATATTATATGATTAAAATACCTTAATAAATGACCTCTTGAGTGTATTAAGCACCGCTAGATTACCTGAAAATACGAGTTACAACATCCTTGATTCGTTTAACTTCTAATACTGGTTAATCACCCTTATACACTCTTGTATCACTTAAGACCAATAGGATTGACTTCTTATCATCTCAAAGATAATTCCTTCTTGGATTTATGTTAACTAATATATGGCATGAACTAACACATGTGGATATGGGTTGTAACAAAAAATCTTTACGTTGACTTTAATATCCTTCAAAGTTGAATTATTTATTGAAATGTAATATCCTTCAAAGCTGAATTATTTATTGAAATATATAATTTATATTTGATAAATTAATTGTTATATAAGACTTTTTTGAAGTATACTAATGATATTTTTTGAATTTTTTTTTGCAATAATTGTGGAGTTACGACGCCATACTAATCACACTTGGATAGGCATCTTAAACCACTCAATTTGATACCCGCAAGACCAGAAGGATTTATATAGTGAGTATTTCCATATGAGTTCATTCTAAAATTATTCATCCAAGAATTTTTAGAAAATTCCACGCCGAGGTAAGGAGAGTTTTACTCAATATTTTATAGCAAGTGACTTTGTGGTCAACGAGTTTGTAAATTAAATAAAGAAGCTTCGACAAAGTTATTTGCAATATAAAACTTATCACAACACATCAGAGGAATTCGTGCCAATCTGAGGGGGAAAGAAATGAAGAAGTAAAAAATCATGTATCAACTAAATATATGGTAAACAGAAAATAATTTGACTGTTGAATAACTTGCCGACTACTTGTTCCTTTGCATTCAAAAGATCCAAATATCAGCCTCCTCCTTCGTTCTATGTATCAAAATAATTCTTAACGAGCAGTTCAAGTTCATTCACCAATATTATATAAACAAGTCTTAGGTAGATCACAATGCATATGTATAAACTATAAGCACACATATTATTATATATCTAACTATCTTAATTAATTTTTTATTATTATAGGTTTAAACAACGACCAATCAATTCAATTCAAGTAAAAGTAAAGTAATAACACTAATTTTAGGATTCAAATGATTGTTGTATTTTCACGTGAATATCTTTACAATAATTTTTTATTCTTGCAATTTAACTTTGTTTCTTCATATAAATAATTAAATCTACATGTAAAAAGAGAAGAAAGACGAGAAGTTTTATTTTGTGTCTCATACAACTGACACTAGTTGTATGAGACTCCTTTTTATCTTACAAATTTGTGGACCCCAATCTTATATTTATGGGTCCACAAAATTGTGACACAAAAAAATTGTCTCATACAACTAATGTCAATTATATAATTGTATGAGACACAAAATAAAATTTTACAAGAAAGACAAAGAAACAGGAAAATAAAAGCAACCAATCAAAATCATGGAGAAGATGAGGCATAGACGGTTATTTGGACAATGTTGTGGCGTTTGGCTCCTTTTTCTTTAAATATCCTTCCTTTCCCCTCGGCATATGCTCCCCGAATCTCTCCTTATCCTCCCCTCTGTCTCTTTCTCCCCTTACACTTTCAATTACAAAATCCTCACTCCAAAACCCGCTGAGCTAACAGCTAACAGCTTACAACTTACAACCTTCTCTCTCTAATGGCGTCCTCGGCGCCAGTGCTTCAGCAGCACAACAATTTCCTCTTCACTTTCAGCTCAAAAACTAAAAATACCAACTCAATTTTCTTCTTCAACTCTTATAACTCTTCTCTCAATTGCGTAACAAAGCCTCTCGCCTCTACATCTTCGTCTCTGTTTTCATCGCCATTTCAAACCTCCTCGCGTCCTTTAATTCGCCTCACGCGCGTTTCCACAGCACCCGTAGAGTACGTGCCGCCAGCTCCCGACTTCGATTTTCACAAAGAAATCGCCAGGCTTAAAGCTTTGAAATCGAAGCTTGATCATTGTACTAATTTGAAGGACAGAATCAGAGTGATTGACTCTGATAGTCGTGTGAATTCCTTTTTCTTTTCGCATAAGAATTCGTTTTCTAGGGTTTTGGAGACTTTGCATTTGGATGAATTTGAAGTTTTTTTGCTTAAATGTGTGGTTGCTGCTGGGCAACAGCATGTGTTCGGTGATGTTTGTACAGAATTTGAGCAGAAAAGAATTTCGCTGAAGAGTGCTTTGTATGCTTTGGCGGAAATGATTGAGAATTGGGATGTAAATGGCGGTAGTGGTGGCGGTGGCGGTGGTGTGAATGGTTATGGTATAGGAACTGAAGAGCATGAGGCATTGAGGTCAATGTTGAAAATTATTGGAGAGGTTGAGCGGTTTTATGATTGCATTGGAGGAATAATAGGGTTAGTTCTCTATGCTTTACTTTGTTTTGAGATCCTTCACTGGAGTATAGTCATAGCTTAGAGTGCCTGAACAGAGACATAATGGAAATAACAAATTGCGTTTGGCTAGAGAGTGAAGGCCTTTTAAAAACTTAAAATCGTAGTTAAAATTTGAAGCTTGTAAATAAATAGTTTTAAGTTACTTCCTTATGTCCTAGTGGGAGGCACGTACCCAGTAGAATAGTCGAGCTAGCCTGGACACCTTCGTCATAAAAGAAGAAGAAGAAAAATATAGTTTAAGTTACTAAATTTGAAGTACTTATGAAAATTCCTTTTCTAATTTGAAGTATAGAGTTTATGCAATCTGAATTCTTTGCTGAGCTTGTAACATAATTATTCTCTTTCATTTTAAAACCTCACTTATTCATCAAAAAACATAACCTTACTATGTGGAGGAAGTGTTTGCCATAATGTTTTTGAATGCAAGCATGAAGGTAGTACATGTTTGATTATTAATGAGCATATACAAACTTTTTGTGCTCAAACTTGCCGAAAGTTTTTGGCCGGATGTAATGTAACACTATTAAACATCTTTACCGTTCAATTCACTTTTTCAAAGTGTTTAAATAATATAAAGGAAGAAACAGCAAGTGTTCAAAAGTAAGTTCCTTTACAGATTTTTGTGGATAAACTTGAGATAGCATAAATTGTTTAAGGCTGCTTAACTACCTCCAACTTTTCCCGTAAATGTTAGTTTCCTTATTTATGTACTGTTCATCCATTTAACGTTTGCCGAGCCTCCATACTCTGATATCTTTCGCCAAATTAGCAAGCTATTATTATTCTACTTTATAAGTCTTTCCTTTAAGCTTTTTACACAAGTAGCATTGAGAAATCTTTCTTTATGATTTTCTTTTATGTAGTTATTGTGTAATTTTTTTGAACTATTTGTTGAGATGTTCTAGACCTTTTTAAGCTAGTTGAACTAATGAAATACAAGAATTTTGCTGCAGGTATCAGATTATGGTCCTTGAGCTTCTTGCTCAGTCAACTTTTGAACGACAGAGTCTGTCCCATCACTCAAATAAATCTCTCAAGCGTGAGATAATAGAAATTCATCCTCCACATGCACTTGATCTTTCTCAGGATTTAGAATATGCATCTCAAGCAGCTATTTGGGGAATTGAAGTTAGTCAATGCACTATATCTTGTAGATGTCAATGGATGTACTTATGGCATTGATCTAATCATTGTTTAACTCTTTTGAAGGGATTGCCAAACCTGGGAGAAATATATCCTCTTGGTGGCTCGGCAGACAGGCTGGGTTTGGTTGACCCCGACTCAGGTGAATGTCTACCTGCTGCAATGCTTCCGTACTGTGGGCGTAGTCTATTGGAAGGTCTTATAAGAGATCTTCAGGTAACAGAAATATCCTTATCAAGCGACTGTTTCTGCATTCATAGTGTTCTAAATCAAATCAAAACCAATACGATGATATCCTTTAACTATATGCAAGGCTAGGGAGTACCTGTATTTCAAGTTATACGGCAAACAATGCATCACTCCAGTTGCAATAATGACAAGTGCAGCAAAAAGCAATCATGAGCGTGTCACCTCACTGTGTGAGGAACTCCACTGGTTCGGAAGAGGAAGATCAAATTTTAAACTTTTCGAACAGGTAGAAATTCACATGCTTCCCATTCCTATGACTCGATGAATTAATGTGTGTTCTTATATTTATTACATAAGCTGTTCATTTGGTGATTTAAATTGTCAAATTGCTAGCCTCTTGTTCCAGCTGTTAGTGCAGAAGATGGACAATGGTTGGCGAGTGGACCATTCAAACCTATATGCAAACCAGGTGGTCATGGGGTGATCTGGAAACTTGCCTATAATGAAGGTGTTTTCCAGTGGTTTTATGATCATGGAAGACGAGGTGCGACTGTGAGACAAGTCAGGTCAATTTCAAATTGATATTTGCTGTTTCAAGATAATTACTAGCTTTCAGTGGCAAGAGATAATGGGGGATAATTTATGTCCTGAATATGGTAGACATTGTTGACTTTGCAGTAACGTTGTGGCATCTACAGATTTGACTCTTTTGGCTTTAGCTGGACTTGGTTTGCGTCAGGGAAAGGTAAGGTTTAACATATCATGTCAGTTTTAAAAGCATCGAATTTGGGCAGTAGAAAAGTTAGAGAATTGGATTTGATTTGACTTGTCTTCAAGCTATTCTTGATAGTTCTGTATTCCTGAAATTGGATTGAGAGAACTTTGCTGATTAGGCAAAATAATGAATCCTTTTAGTTCATGAAATTAGTGTCACCTTGGAAAAAATAATCAATTCTTTTAAATGCTTGGACAAGCTGGAACAATTTATGGAACACAAAATATATTTAGGTTTCTTGCCTGCTTGGACAAGCCAAAACAAGAGTATATTTAGGTCTAAGCCATGCGCTGAATCCTTGACTTCGTGCCTTATTTCTTGCTTGCTCTGCACTGGAATCAATCTTCTATTTACTTTTTATAATCTTTGGTCAAATTCAAAATTTCCAGAAACTGGGCTTTGCTTCATGCAAGCGAAATGCGGGTGCTACTGAAGGCATAAATGTTCTAATTGAGAAGAAGAATCTTGAGGGGAAATGGACCTATGGTATATCCTGCATAGAATATACCGAGTTTGACAAGTTTGGAATGACGGATAATTCTCTTTCTTCTTACAGGTACTCTATGTCCTTCCTTATTCAAATGCAAAGAATGATGGCTTTAATTGGAACCTTTTGGTATCTTCCATTATGGGTTTTAAGACAATTACAACAATCTCAGTGTATGTAAATTATGTCAAAATGACTTTCTGCTTGTGACAGTGGCTTTGGCAATTTGATGAACCCTGTATTTTGTCTGTTCAGAGTACCGGCTGATGTTTAGAATTCTCTACTACAAATTGATGCTGTCAACTGTAGATTTTGCAATCAACTTGTCTAAATAGTTTTTAAGTCTTGCTACTGAAAAGTTCCCTGAAACTGGGATTATGTCTCTGATTTGAGATTGATGATGCCATGGGGTCTTCCTAAAAATTACCTTCTGCTCTCAGTTGCTTTGCTGGAAGTGTAGAAACTAATTTTGTAGTGATGATATTAAACTTGAGATTTGGCGTTACTGCATAAAGGACTCCTATTTCATGCGGGAAAACCTATCACCATGATAGTTCGTTTTCTTGTTCATTGGGTTTGTTTGGTGATACAAGGGCATGTGTGATGCAAAAGAGTGAAGTTTCAAGCACTTCTTGTCTGTCTATATGATATTCGTTGTCCTTTTGGATTAACCACCCAACCCTTCATTTCCTGTGCTGTTCTTCATTTCTTTGTTGATGCTTCTGTGATATTGTATTTCACTGAGGTGTCAAGCTGGCCTCTTGGTTGTAGATATATGCATACTTTAGCTTATTAGGTTTTCATCCTTCTATCTAACTTTCCACGGTAATGATGATATTACTATAATTACATGTCATTCTGGAAAATTCTAATTTCCTACCTTCTTCCTTTGTTAAGTTTACAGGGCGAGTTTCCTGCCAATACAAATATTCTATATGTTGATTTGCCCTCTGCTGAGCTAGTTGCGTCAAGTAATGATGAGACTAGTTTGCCTGGAATGGTGCTTAATGTGAAAAAGGCAATCACATATGTGGACCAGTTCGGAAGCAAGCATAGGTACATCTTCCAGTTGTGAAAGCTATTCTAAAGGTCTCTTTGTCTTCACTGGATGGAACATGTGCTTTTATCAAAATCATTGCTGATAGATACCATGATAACAAAAAGTGCATTGGACTCCATAGTTGAAAGTATCTTGTTTTTTTATAACTTCCAACTCACGTTCCTTCTATTTTGCAAGTAGAAATTAGAAAGGATGATATAAGATTAAAATGGTTCCTGCATGAAATACAAAGTTCTTTTGTTACACCTCTTGCATTAGCAGTTTCCTGCCTCTAGCTGCAAAGGAACTAATATGTCACACTTGTCACCCAGAAAAAAGAAAATGTCCATAATTTTTATCTTGATGTTGTTGAGCACACCAAGTGGACTTCCGTTGGCATTCCTAGTCGACTTAGAAATTACGAAAAATTCAGTTTTAATTTGGTTTTGAAATACTAAGTAACTAACCGTGCAATCAGAAATATCAAGACTAGTTAGAAGTATGAACTTTGCCACATTTGATGTGACATACTCCTCATTTTTGAGAGGAACAAAAAAGAAGAATGTGACATACTCTCCTTTTCCTGAAAGTCTTTTTTCTGTTAACACGTGAACTTGAATGGCGCTCTAATGATGTGATTGACATTTTCAAAGAACCCAAATTTATAAAGAATTCAGAATTAATTTGTGTTTTAACTGTCACGCACAATAGCCGTATATTCATGTGTCTGCACTGCATTACTGAAAAAGAAGCATTTACTTGGCCTTCTTTCTTGGATTTGGTTACTTTTTAAGTTTTATGTCTATTTAAAGTTGCTATATGTGTTTGGAAGTCTTCACATCATACTATCTTTGTTACTGCATGATTACTGGGTCAAAATAATGTCCTTGTTACTGCAGTAGCTTCTTATTTTAATGAGTTCCAAATACAGGATTCAATGAGATTTTACTTTCTGTTTCGTTCCAGTGTCCCAGGTGGCCGCCTTGAGTGCACAATGCAAAACCTTGCTGATAACTTTTTCAATACACGCTCATGTCGATGTTATGATGGTGTTGAAGGTCTACATGGCCACTTTCAGTAAATTTTTCTTTTTATCACATACCATAAATCTTCCCTTCTGATCCAGTTTTAAATGAAATGACTTTGCTTATATTGCAGATGGACTAGATACTTTTATTGTATACAACGAAAGAAAGAAGGTGACATCTTCTGCCAAGAAGAAACGTAGACATGGTGACAAGTCGTTGCACCAGGTTATACAGAATTTAGTAGCTTCTTTATGAGAAATTTGGAACAGAGCATATTTTCCTTGATAGGCAGACACTCGACCCGGCCTTGAAATTCAGTTCTTCTAGCTTCTCGGTTTAAGTAATATTACAGAGGTCAAAAGAACTGCACTGCCTCTGTAGTAACAATCACATAAAGCTATGTCTCTGCTTTTTGAATTTTTGGGTACTGTTTCTTCTCATGAGATGCGTAGCATGTTCTTGTTCCCAGAACTCTGCATGGTTTTTTGGCCTCATGATGTGTGTCATACTAAAATACTTGAATCTCCAAATGTTCACATTTTCTTGTAAAAGTATCAATTAAATGAGGACACACCTAAGAAATGTGTCGAATCAAATGTCATGGGTTGAAGCTTTATCAATTATATGAGCTTAGTTACAGCTGAGGAGAAAAGAAACTAATGGCGATATATTTCTTGTCCATGAGAGTCAAAGCCCAGAGGCTAACATCACAGTTCTGGAGGATATGTATTTTAAAGTCTGTGTTTATTTTTTTCAGAAACTAGATTAGATCCGAAGTATTATTATAACTCATTGGCATTGAAATTGGTCCTTGCAGACTCCAGATGGCTCGCTGTTGGATATAATGCGTAATGCCTATGATATTCTTTCCCACTGTGAGATAAAAATTCCAAAGGTATTTTGCGGGACTGAACTTTCATCATTTGTATCCTTATCTATTGGAATATTCTGACCTAGTTACTTGAACTTGGTTAGTATATAACATGTTAGCGAGCAATTTATTCGAGTCTTCTTCCGCAAAGTACCTGTTTTTGTTGAAGTTGGTATACTTTTTTAAACTCCTTTTATGTATCTGCAGATTGAAGGTAACGAGAAGTATGTTGACTCTGGGCCTCCATTTCTTATTCTTCTCCATCCTGCTGTAGGTCCCCTTTGGGAAGTAACTAGACAGAAGGTAATCTGGCAATTGCCTTTCATTGTTTTAATATACTGCAGTTTTCCCTGATGTCGTGGATTTTCTTCTGAAACCCCCAAAACATAGAGTTTTGACTATGATTTGAAAAATTGACCTTGAAAGTTGATGTCTGCACCTAATTCATTCGCTGGCCTATTGTGTTCTTCTCCCGGCCATCATCTATCCATCGTCTAGGCTCTAGTAGCTAATTAATTGATTTACTATCTTCAAGTTTGACTACTATCTTCACTTTTTGTCCTTCTTGATTGTTTAGGAGAGAAGTCATGGGGCATGCTCTACTGTCATGAAAGTTGTAACCATTTCTTTTTGCTTTGTCTCTCTTAGTTCTACCGAGGTTCCATATCCAGGGGTTCAGAGTTGCAAATAGAGGTTGCTGAGTTCTTGTGGAGAGATGTGCAGGTTAGGATTCTTGGTTTGTGCAGCCAGGCCATGCTTTTCATATCGTTATGACCTATTTACTTGGCTGTGTTTTCCAGCTTGATGGGAGTTTGATCATTTTAGCTGAGAATATATTAGGTTCAACCACAATTGATGAAAATGGTGAAACCATTCTACAGTATGGAAAAAGGTAATGAAGTCTACCTGGTGAAAATTCTTGAAACTACTAGTTTGATAGATGTCCATTTAATGATAAAATCCTTTATGTAGGTGTGGGAGATGTAAGCTGGAGAATGTCAAGATATTGAATGATGGAATTAATTGGAATTCAAAAGAAAACTTATACTGGAAGCACGATGTGCAGCGATTTGAGGCAGTTAATGTGTTACTGCACGGAAATGCAGAATTTGAAGCAGCAGATGTTGTGTTGCAGGTTCGCTTAACCCTAGAGTATATGATTAGCATTTCAACATGCAAATGTGTAGTTGTTAATTTTCATTGTACTTTGGGAGGTAGTTAAGATTATTAGTGACTTCTTTGTGAAGTTGTATGTTAGTTTTTAGTCCCAGATTTCCCTTTGGCAGGCGGGGTAGGGGTTGTTTTTTGGTTAAACTTCAAAATTTTATTTTACCAAGCATATCAATATGCACATATGACTCATTTGGACTCATGAGTCAGTTTTGTTTTTTGGTTAAACTTCAAAATTTTATTTTACCAAGCATATCAATATGCACATATGACTCATTTGGACTCATGAGTCAGTTCTCAGCAAGCAGACTACTACCGAGTACCGACTATTCTGTCCTATCCTCAATCCAGTAGAGTTACTGGATAGTATCAACAATGGGTACAATCTCTAAGATAGTGTGCTATACTGGGTAACTATTCAGACACTCTAAATGCTTTTGCCATTTACAGAATTTCTGCCCATAGATGTGTAGCTGTAAAACAATTTCTCTTATCAGCTGCCAGAGAATCTTTGGTTCCTGAATCTTCTAGCATTCCTCTCGGACCAAATTTGATATACACTAGCTGCAAACAGGAACCCAATGATGCCTGCTCTGGCCTGGTGTTATTGCTTTTCTTAGCTGCCCATTGTACTTAATTGATTTATCTCCTCTCCTAGCCAGTCCAGGATGGTGTTCCATATAAGCTTTGAGTACAGTCAAAGAAGAGATGCTCCAAAGTCTCCATTACACTGGTAGGGGTTGTTGGAAGTAAATTAAAAAGCTAAGTGCAGGATAATATCACCTATATTGACAGTTAACTGCCTTTTCTAGGGGTCGTCTTACCATGATTTTTTGCTTCTGTTAAGAAGGAATTTGAAGTATATGGTTTACATGACATCTTATTATGCATGCCCTATTGGAAAATCTATAACTGTGCTTTTTTTTATTTTTATTTTATCAAATGCTGATATGCTCTTTTATCTTGTTTTCCAAATGCAGGGTAATCATGTTTTTGAAGTTCCAAATGGTTACAAAATGAAGATAACAACAGGAGACTCAGGTTTTTAGAAGATTTTGATCTAATATATTCTTAAGTTGCTCTTTTGTTATCATATTATTTTTACCAAGGCATTTCATATTGATTAACAGTTACATTAAATTGTTTCCTGTTATTGTACAAAAAATTTAATTTAGTAGCTAACTATTACTATATGAAACTGACTCTTTAATCAAGTCTCTAATAATCACAAAAACAACCACGACTACGCCTCAGTCCCAAACAAAGCTAGGTCGGTGATATGAATCCTCAATTCTTTCTTTAAGCTCTATTCATATCATCAAGACAAAATAACATAAGAGTAGTAGGGAAAATACGTGAAATATATATGTAAATAATACTAGTAATAATAAGAATAAATAATAATATTCCCTCCGTCTCATATTATCAGTCGTGGTTACTAAAAATAGTTGTCTCAAATTATTTGTCATTTTAGAAGTTCAACACAAAATTGATTATTTTTTCCCCTTTTTACCGTTAGTAATAATTATCCTTGAAGACTACAAACACCTTAATTACGGATAACTTTGTTCAAATTTCAATAAGTCAACCTTGTTTTCTTAAACACATTATCATGTAAAATTACACAAATGCAATCAATTAACACCGGAATCCTAAAAACTTCTACCATTCTACACATAAATTGAGAAAATATTCAATGAAGAAAGATTAAATATTAAGACATGAATAAGGGTAAAGTAGTCAAAATCTCATTCTAACTAATTTTTCTTAAGGGGCGTGTATAAGAGAATCATGACAGATAATATGAGACGGAGGGAGTAATAATATTAAAGCTTCTCTAACAAATTTAGAGCTCCTAACTAGCAAGTATCACCTATATGGATCCTTTTCTTTCCATTGTACCCAATCTTTAGCTAAGCCTGCATTGATTCCAAGGATTTGTAGGTCTTTCGAGACAACTTCCTTACATGTGATTTTAGGTCTATCCCGTCCTTTTTAAGACTTTCACTCACTATTGTTTTACACCTAAGTACTGGTGCATTTATATTTTATAGAGAGCCGCAAGACATAACCAAACCATCTCAAGCGACTACCTCGCATTTTATCCTCAATGCGTGCTACTTGCATCTTCTGGCAAATGTGTTCATTTTTAATAATCACTTGTTAAATAATCAAAAACAGGTTTGATAATCCAAACCAAACAAGCCTATATTAAGGTATTGCTCTTCTGGACACTTAAGTGAGTTGGAGATATTATTGTCATAGTATCCCTCTTCGCATTTTGTCACAATCACATTTTCCTCTTAGTTGGTATTAGTTAAAATAGCATAGAAGATGTTGCACCATTATAGCTGGCAGCACATAAATGTACCTGGATCGATTAACAGAAGGTCTTGTAGAGTCTAACTCACTTCTTGTGAACGTGTTGTGAAATGTGGACAGAAGTGCAAAACCTTTAGTTGCATTCATAACATTTGTATATTGATTATGACAAATATGTGGTGAGCAAGGTACACATGCAGTGTCCCAGTAGGATAGCTGAAATACCTTGGCAGCATCGTATTGGGCGTAGACCTTTTCTTTGGGTTGAAAATACTAAATTTATTTACTAATTGTTGTTTCCTATCATTCAGGATTAGCAGTCGAACTTAAACCTATTGAGAAGAAGTTGATGGAGTGTGGAAGCTGGTTTTGGAACTACAAGATAATGGGCAAACATGTTCAGTTGGAATTGGTGGAGTTATAGGATGACTGACAGATGCCTTACCAACTTCGTTTGTGAATCGTGGTTCACAACTGGGGCTTGTAACTCACTTTCAGGCTTGGTTGAACAAAAGTTGAACCACTCGAACTCTCTGATCAGTTTTGTGATTAATTGCAGCTGTTTGTAATTTAGTTGTAAATCATGTCTAATAGTAATTTGACAACTCTAATACCACAGTAGTATTTTTTTCTTTCCTTTTTTTTCGTGTAAATGTAAATAATTCATGTTTCCCTCCGGGTTTCTTGGTCATTGTTGTATGCTTTTTGAGCATCTGTAACAAAATCGATTCCATGAAGATGAATGCTCGTGGCATCTATGTTTATTTTTATGTTAGGGATACCTCTTTATTTGATTGAAGTTGCAGGGCTTTATTTTTGAGAAAAAAAGGAAACAAGCCCAATAAAATATGAAGATAGTTAGAAGTTGCAGATTTTTTCTTTTCACGGCAAGGGTCTAATTAGTGTTTGAACAATGTATTATTATTGATTATGTTGGCCGGAGAAGAGGCTGTTTTTATCGGTAGTCTAATTGGAGAGAAACAACGTGCCAGCAAGCGTTTATGGCTGGATTCAAACACTTGGACATTTTACTCTTACTTTTCTCACGTTTCTGCTTTGCCACTTCATTCCCTATCCAGTGATCGCTTCTCTGGATACTAATGTTAATCCATAAGGTTTCATAGTTGTCAGAGGACCCATGAAATGCAATTATATTTCGAACTCTTTGATCGAAGTTTCCAGTTTAAATCTCCATTTGAATGTTCTTATCTTACTGTCTCTTGTTTGCATTTTGGCAGTGCTTTCACTGACTATGCTTTATGTGCTGACAAAGCAGGGACAATATTTGATGAGCGATGGTTTCCCCTTGATTTTCTCCTCTGTGCTCTTTCATGCTCAAAGAGAGCAGATTTTCATGAGCAAAGTGCTGAAAGTAATATACTGACTCATAATAATTTGCATTTCAATGTGGCTTCGATGAAGAAGAGTTTTACAACTTGATTGGATGTTATCAGGTTTATGGTGAAAGGGATAAAGGTTGAATTACAGTAACTTAATGTGAAAAGTATTTCCATCCATTTACATTCTTGTTAACAGTGTATTCATTTCTCTCATCCATCAGGCTTACTGAGATTGAGAGCAGCATCTATTAAGTAGTCTTAGAAGAGCGTCAGCCTTTCTTCGAGCTCTCAGGGATCCATCAGCAGCCAAGCTTTGGAGAGAAGGAATACTTCTTGGATTCATTAGTAATTTTCCTGCAACCTCCTCTCCACTATCCTTGCAGAGTCCCAGCAGTAGTGTTATTGAATGATCCTTCCCTTTTGAAGATCCAAATCTCAAGAGATCAACAAGAAGAGGAACCAAGATCCTACTCTTTCTCAACGCTTGTAGCCCTTCGTTGCAGCCCAAGACAAGTGCAAGAACCGCCAGCGCATCATCAGTTATACCAGCTTTGTCATCCATCAGAAGATTAATAAGTAGAGGAATAGCTCCAGCAAGCACTATACTTGGCCTGTTAGCATCATAGACTGCAAGGTTAAAGAGTGCTATAGCAGCATCCTTTTTCCCTGCTGTAGTTCCTTCTTCTAAGAGTCCGACCAAAGCTGGAATCGCTCTGGTGCGTGCCCCTATGATTACTTTGTATTCGTCGATTACAGACAAGCTGAATATTGCTGCTGCTGCATTTTCTCTTGCTTCCATTGTTTTCCCACATTGGAGGACTTCAATTAAGCTGTCGATGACACCAGCAGACATAATCAGGATCTTGTTATTCTCATGTATTGAAAGATTGAGTAATGCTGTGACTGCATTCTCCTGGATTCTTGGATCACGGGAACTAAGTAGAGTCATCAGAAATGGAATAGCTCCAGACTCAGCTATGATCCTGCGATTGTCCATGCCAGTTTTTGCTAGCAATCTTAGTTCATATGCTGCCTGTCTCTGTATATCTGGAGATCCTGTTGCCAGTTTCCCAACTAAAAACTCTGCTGTCATTTTCACAGCATCTGTGGCAGCTTTAGTCGCAGAAATGTAGTCAATCGCCTTGTCACATTTCTTAATCTTACTGCTGCTGCTACTCTCTGAATCTGAAGGAGATAATGTAGGTTCTGTTATTGGGATGTTGTTCTCTTGGCACCATTGATGGATTAGACTTTTTAGTGCATAGTTAGGAATGAGAGCCATATGTATAAGCCTCTGCCCACTTTTTGGACAGGTGTGGTGCCCTGAATTTATCCACTGAGCGATTGAATTTCGATCATAAGTATGGCCTGATGCTATTATCACGGGATCCCTCATCAAGTCAAGTGAAATTGGACAGCGGAGTTCATCAGGGATGTCGGAAACCACTGAATAGCATGAGGAGGATTGATCAGCACGAGCACTCATCGGTGCTGGCTGCTTCAAATTTTGCTTAATCATTAGGTGTTCTTCCAAAATTGCAGTTTTTGATAAGGAGATCAAGGATATTAGGCTGTTGATATTCGAGATGGCGATCAGTCCACCCGTGCCTGCCTGTTTCTCAGCTTCTGCCTCCAATTTCGAGATCTCTTCCTCATAATCTAATGAGCTTCTCAAACCAATGCTTCTCATAGTGTCCTTCATTCTCCGAAAGTCAATGAAGCCTTTGTTCTTGCTGTTCTTATCACAGTTATTAGTAGCCATCAACTGGAGAATCTCTTCCCTTTTCTGAATTTCTCGAGGATCAATGAACAAGTCAGCCCTTTTCGCCTGCTTATGAAGTAGCACCACTTGCTCCTTGGTGTCTACAGTTACATGAAGCAATCTCAAAGGTAAAATATCAAGCGCCTTTTCCATCTCCTTCATCAGTGCATGAAATTGGTTTGAAATCAATTCTGTCTGCATGAGATTCCACAAAGAGCTGCTCTCTTTGCAACTTCCTATGAGGAGCTTTACCTTTCTTATGACAGAGAAAAGCTCAGTCAAACAGAGGATTGAGGATGGTGGAAGTACTGCAGTGGATGATGTTTCTTGAATTTCTTCAAACAATGAAGAAAGAATCTTGATCCTTCTTACCATTGTTGATATGTTTTTCACCTGTAAAAATGGAAGCTTTTCCATTGACAATACTTCGTTAGAGATGTGAATCAGAGTTTCCACCAAATTCCCACTTGGGAGAAATCCTGAGGAAACCATGAGTGGAAGTGGAAGTTCATTCATGCTTGAGCAATGCGTTGAATATGTATCATCAGTTAATGACTCAGTAATGATCAAGGTTTTCTTGTAGGGTTTAGATTAGTTGTTGAAACTTTCTAAATTCTGTTAAGGGGAAAAAAATATTAAAGTTATGAACAGTATTGACTTTTCCTGCTTGTACTGTTTTGTGTAAGCGACTGTAAGATGGCTGGTTGAAGGGGAAAGCAAAAGTCTTGAATTGCTGCCACTTGGAGGACATACTAGGCTGCAGGTTTTTGTATTATTCCTATTGCTAATTTTATATTCCCATTTGACTAATGGGGTAATATATTTGTCAAACGAGAGAGGATTCCGTGTACTTTCATTTTGGTGGCCGAACTTTCTTATTCGAAAATCCCTTAGTTTTGTCCTATTCTACCTAGCTGCTAAAACTGGATTTCATGTTTTTATGTCTAAGTTTTGTGCACTTATAGCGTATGTATTTTTGCCCCAGGTTAAGTCAATGATCTTAATGATATGACAGTATGAAAATAAAATAATAGCTTGCTATAATTGAGTAATTTGCATTTATAATTATAGAAGAATCGTATTACACTGTTTGTTGTTAGAAAATAATAAACAAAAATGGCTTTGAGGCGTGAAAATCGACTGTCCTTAAAGAGTTATCGCCGGTATACTAATTTAGGGAAATACAAAACGATTCTCTTCAGGATACAACAAAGCCTGAAATAATACTTGTGATTTTCTATCCTACTTCGTTGGAAATTCTTCTGTATTTATAGGCAACTAACAGACCCTTTCAGAAAAAATGTCTTGTTTCACAAACAATCATATTCGGTTGGACCCTTTCATAACAGACATAACTATTTATTCGAATTTTGAATTTAAAATTCAAATAAATTTAATTTTTCTGTCACAAAATAAATAATTAATTTTAGGATCCGACCCGGCCCGCGCCAAAGCCTCAAGTCCAAGTCCAAGTCTTTGATTATAATATATAAATATATAGTGTACTTAATTGCACACACTTAAAAGTATGTGTCCTAAATCAAAGACATAAAAGGGACAAGTGCTTAAAAGGCTTCAAAATTGCCTTCTCTCTTCCGATGTGGGATCAACCCACTTCCCAACTGGAATAACAAACTATCTTACAATCCCCCTCTAGTTTGTTATTTCACTCCATAATACTTGTGAATAATAGAAAGTATTTTATATAGATTTGAACTTTCCTTTAGTGTAAGTACTTTAAAGCTTTGACGAAGTTATTGGTATTTTAAGATTTGAACCACAACTCCTTATGCCAAAACCGAAAGTACCATACACACAGTGTTATCTAGTAGCTTAGAAAATCCAGTATTCGCTTTAGCACGTCTACGACCATGTGCTCATCCTGAATTCATGAATATACAAGATCAACCCTTTAAATCTTGCTAGAAGCGGCACCACTTCAATATTCATATAGGTGAAATTAGTTACTATGTCCTTGTTACTCCAGACATTAATAATTCCATTAAGATTAATCAACCTTTTCATGTAACAATATGCACTTTGGAGTTTGTCTTTATGCCCCTGTTATAACAAGCATTTAACAACTCCTCACATAACAGTAAGTAGTACAATAGAATTAGGGCTCCTAAAGAGGAGATCAATGCTTAAACAATACAAGTAACTTGTTATTACCCATTGAACTTATATTGTTAGAGTATATACTAACTCAAAGTGAGGTTCCCATTCCTTGCATTTAATTTAAGGGTCTCAGCCCCATCCCTTTACAAGTTTGTTGTACTATATCTCTACCCAATGGCTTCGTAAATGGATTAACCAAATTCTTATTTGATCTCACATATATTATAGCTATAGCTCCATTTGTAATTAATTCTCTTATATAAGCATGTCTCAAGCTTATATGTCTCGATTTCCCATTGTATATTTTATTGTGAGCAACACACATTGTAGTCTCATAGGTTGTGGCCACAACTTTATATCAAGTAACATATTCCTCAGCCATTCATTCTGCTTCTTTTCCAGCAACTGCTAATGCAATGACTTCAGATTCCATAGTAGAATGAGAAATACATGTTTGTTTCTTGGATGCCCAACTAATGGCTCCACCACCTAGAGTAAATATCCATCCTGATGTGGATTATTATTATTAACACTTGTA